TGAAATGGGTAGCTTTATAATTTCATAAGAAAAAAATTAGAGAAAATATATTAATTCAGGAAAACTTGGCTTATTAGGCAAATCGGGACTTGCATAGTAGGCCGAGTACGACGTTCTGGCTACTAGGTACAACTTAATATATATATAATATAATATATAATATAATATATATGTAATATTATATGGACTTAAAGGTACTTTTTGGGGAATATGAAATTGACTCGCGAGAAGGCGTCCACCAGGGTGACCCTCTTGCTCCTCTCCTTTTCTGCCCACACACACACCCACACAACAATGATCTCCCAGAGGGTATAGAATCGTTTCTCTCATTGTTTGCTGATGATGCAAAAATTATGAGAATTGAAACAGAGGATGATAGTAGGAGGCTACAAGATGACCTGGACAGACTGAATGGTCCAACAAATGGCTGCTAAAGTTCAACCCGAGTAAATGTAAGGTAATGAAACAAGGCGGTGGATACTGCCTAGTTTCACAGGACACAGGATAGGGAATAGGAGATGAAGTACTTAATGAAACGGACAGAGAGAAAAATCTAGGAGTTGATATCACACCAAACCTGTCTCCTGAAGCCCACATAAAAATAATAACGTCTGTGGCATTCGCGAGGCCATCTTATCTTGAGATGATTTCGGGGCTTTAGTGTCCCCGCGGCCCGGTCCTCGACCAGGCCTCCACCCCCAGGAAGCAGCCCGTGACAGCTGACTAACACCCAGGTACCTATTTTACTGCTAGGCAACAGGGGCATAGGGTGAAAGAAACTCTGCCCATTGTTTCTCGCCGGCGCCCGGGATCGAACCCGGAACCACAGGATCACAAGTCCAGTGTGCTGTCCGCTCGGCCGACCGGCTCCCTGGCTAACATCAGAACAGCGTTCAGGAACCTGTGTAAGGAATCATTCAGAACCTTGTATACCACATATGTAAGACCAATCCTGGAGTATGCGGCCCCAGCATGGAGCCCGTACCTTGTCAAGCACAAGACGAAGCTGGAAAAAGTTCCGAGGTATACCTCGGAACTTTTTCCAGCTTCGTCTTGTGCTTGACAAGGTACGGGCTCCATGCTGGGGCCGCATACTCCAGGATTGGCCACTAGACTAGTCCCAGAACTAAGAGGCATGAATTACGAAGAAAAACTGCGTGAAATGCACTTCACGACACTGGAAGACAGAAGAGTAAGGGGAGACATGATTACTACCTACAAAATTTTCAGTGGAATTGACAGGGTAGATAAGGATAAACGGTTTAACACGGGTGGTACACGAACAAGGGGACACAAATGGAGACTGAGTACCCAAATGAGCCACAGAGACGTTAGAAAGAACTTTTTCAGTGTCAGAGTAGTTAACAAATGGAATGCATTAGGCAGTGATGTGGTGGAGGCTGACTCCATACACAGTTTCAAATGTAGATATGATAGAGCCCAGTAGGCTCAGGAACCTGTACACCAGTTGATTGACAGTTGAGAGGCGGGACCAAAGAGCCAGAGCTCAACCCCCACAAGCACAAATAGGTGAGTACACACAGCTAAAGAAGCAGAGAAGCCTCTTCAGCTAACAATAAATGATAAGAATGAATCTTTAGAGGTGTGGAACGAGGCTATAGTGGGTGTGGGTGAGGCTGCCTTTTCAGGGCAATAATAGGTGTGTGGATCGGGTTATAGGGCAGGCTCGTGTCTCTCCCTGTTAGGGATGAGGTACCCCCGAGGTGCATGGTGGGTGGGTCTCCTGTCACAGCTAAATATACCCAGGTAAAGCACACCCTCGAGTCCTGGGCTACCTTTATTGGGGCTCACTACATCCGGGTCGTGTAGCATAGAGCTCACTGGTGGAGCATAGAGCTCACTGGTGGAGCAGAGAGCTCACTGGTGGAGCAGAGAGCTCACTGGTGGAGCAGAGAGCTCACTGGTGGAGCAGAGAGCTCACTGGTGGAGCATAGAGCTCACTGGTGGAGCATAGAGCTCACTGGTGGAGCAGAGAGCTCACTGGTGGAGCAGAGAGCTCACTGGTGGAGCAGAGAGCTCACTGGTGGAGCAGAGAGCTCACTGGTGGAGCAGAGAGCTCACTGGTGGAGCAGAGAGCTCACTGGTGGAGCAGAGAGCTCACTGGTGAGCAGAGAGCTCACTGGTGGAGCAGAGAGCTCACTGGTGGAGCAGAGAGCTCACTGGTGGAGCAGAGAGCTCACTGGTGGAGCAGAGAGCTCACTGGTGGAGCATAGAGCTCACTGGTGGAGCAGAGAGCTCACTGGTGGAGCAGAGAGCTCACTGGTGGAGCATAGAGCTCACTGGTGGAGCAGAGAGCTCACTGGTGGGAACAGACGGTTTAATAATTGGAGAACCGTTGAATTATGAACACGGCCGTAGCGAAGAACACGATAATGATTCGTTCTCTCTTACCGAAGTGTGACGCAAGGTCTGCCCGTGACACAAGCTGTGACGCAAGGTCTGCCACGTGCCACAAGCTGTGACGCAAGATCTGCCACGTGACACAAGCTGTGACGCAAAATCTGCCACGTGACACAAGCTGTGACGCAAAATCTGCCACGTGACAAGCTGTGACGCAAGGTCTGCCATGTGACAACCTGTGACGCAAGGTCTGCCACGTGCCACAAGCTGTGACGCAAGATCTGCCACGTGACACAAGCCGTGACGCAAGATGAACATGGTTACCCCCAGAGAGGGACTTCCGGAAGAGCGGTGGCAACATTGCCGGCGTCGGCAGGGAAGACCGGCGCGACTTCCCGCCCGCCCGCGAGCCAGTATGACCGTTGGCGTTTGAATCTTCGCGCTCCTCCTCTGTGAGTGGCGGGAAGGTTCTTGTGCCTTGGAGTGGCCGGTGATATTGCTTGGAGTGACGGGAGGGGCTCGACCCGGGCTTGGGGGAGTAGAAGAACTCTCGAGACCAGGTAAGATCCAGGTAAGGCAGAGTAACAGGAACCTTTCCATTGGGAGGAAGGTTTCCATAGCGAGAAGGGACATTACGAGCGAAAGTAAAGATAACACAGAGAACGAGAGTGTTGATGTCCTCAGCGTCACGCCCCTGCTGGGGTGTCCTCAGCGTCACGCCCCTGCTGGGGTGTCCTCAGCCCCACGCCCCTGCTGGGGTGTCCTCAGCCCCACGCCCCTGCTGGGGTGTCCTCAGCCCCACGCCCCTGCTGGGGTGTCCTCAGCCCCACGCCCTGCTGGGGTGTCCTCAGCCCCACGCCCCTGCTGGGGTGTCCTCAGCCCCACGCCCCTGCTGGGGTGTCCTCAGCCCCACGCCCCTGCTGGGGTGTCCTCAGCCCCACGCCCCTGCTGGGGTTCCTCAGCCCCACGCCCCTGCTGGGGTGTCCTCAGCCCCACGCCCCTGCTGGGGTGTCCTCAGCCCCACGCCCCTGCTGGGGTGTCCTCAGCCCCACGCCCCTGCTGGGGTGTCCTCAGCCCCACGCCCCTGCTGGGGTGTCCTCAGCCCCACGCCCCTGCTGGGGTGTCCTCAGCGTCACGCCCCTGCTGGGGTGTCCTCAGCCCCACGCCCCTGCTGGGGGTGTCCTCAGCCCCACGCCCCTGCTGGGGTGTCCTCAGCCCCACGCCCCTGCTGGGGTGTCCTCAGCCCCACGCCCCTGCTGGGGTCCTCAGCCCCACGCCCCTGCTGGGGGTGTCCTCAGCCCCACGCCCCTGCTGGGGTGTCCTCAGCCCCACGCCCCTGCTGGGGTGTCCTCAGCGTCACGCCCCTGCTGGGGTGTCCTCAGCCCCACGCCCCTGCTGGGTGTGTCCTCAGCCCCACGCCCCTGCTGGGGTGTCCTCAGCCCCACGCCCCTGCTGGGGTGTCCTCAGCCCCCACGCCCCTGCTGGGGTGTCCTCAGCCCCACGCCCCTGCTGGGGTGTCCTCAGCCCCACGCCCCTGCTGGGGTGTCCTCAGCCCCACGCCCCTGCTGGGGTGTCCTCAGCCCCACGCCCCTGCTGGGGTGTCCTCAGCCCCACGCCCCTGCTGGGGTGTCCTCAGCCCCACGCCCCTGCTGAGGTGTAGTGCTGACAAAGAGAAACTCCAACGTCTAACGACAACAGCGGAGGCTGACTGAAGGTTCTTCATGGCGCTGGACCGCGTCCTCGGAGGTCTGGGTTCTGTCCCTGGACGCTGACGCCGGTCACGGGACGCCGGACCGCGTCCTCGGAGGTCTGGGTTCTGTCCCTGGACGCTGACGCGGGTCACGGGACGCTCAAGGCACAACAGCGGAAGAACTCCAAGAACAAGGAGCCTAAAAACAAATCTTCAATAAAGTGTGACTGATGAAGACTAACGGGAAGTATCCCCCCCCTGTCTCTCCCTCTCTCCCTCCCCTCTCTCTCTCTTCTCTCTCTCTCTCGTCTCTCTCTCTCTCTCTCTCTCTCTCTCCTCTCTCTCTCTCTCTCTCTCCTCTCTCTCTCTCCTTTCTCTCCCCTTTTCTCCCCCTTTTCTCTCCCCCCTCTCTCTCTCTCCCCCCCCTCTCTCTCTCCTCCCCCCCCCCTCTCTCTCTCTCTCTCCCCCCCCTCTCTCTCTCTCTCCCCCCTCTCTCTCTCTCCCCCCTCTCTCTCTCCTCCCCCCCTCTCTCTCACTCTCTCACTCCCCCCCTGCAACACACCCCTCACAAATGTCTCCGTGGTGTAGTGGTAAGACACTCGCCTGGCGTTCCGCGAGCGCTGTCATGGGTTCGTATCCTGGCCGGGGAGGATTACTGGGCGCAAATCCTTAACTGTAGCCTCTGTTTAACGCAACAGTAAAATGTGTATTTGGATGTAACAAGGATTCTTCGCGGCAGGGGGTCGTATTCCAGGGACCATAGGATTAAGGACTTGCCCGAAACGCTACGCGTACTAGTGGCTCTACAACAATGTCACAACTCTTCTATATATCTCAAAAAAAATAAAAAAAAATAAATAGAAGAGAAGGAAGATGAAGTGAGAGGAAGAGGAGGGGAGGATCAGGATTGAGGAGCGGAGGATCAGGATTGGAAGGAGGAGCAGGAGCAATGGGAAAGGAGCAACAGAAGCAGAAGATGTAAGAGGAACAGAATCAAATTAAATAATACAATAAATAAGAAAGCTAGAAAATTTGAAATAGAAAAAATATATAAATCACAACACACGGGAATCAAGAGGAAAAAATGATGAGCAACAGTAGACAATTGAACGGTGGAATGGCTGTTGCAGGAAGGAGGGAGGGAGGGGGGGGGGAGGGCCTGGGGCACGGAAAAGGGGGGGGGGTGGGGTGTAGGAGGAGGGGGAGAGCAGGAGGCGGAGCAGGAAGGAGCAGGAGTACACTACAGTTCCCCCCCCCCCCAGCGTGACCACCCACTCCTGGCAGGAAGTCCACCCGAAGCTCCTCTAGGATAGGGGACAGTTACAAGCTGCGTCCAGGGAACCCTGTCTAGGAGGGGGGGGGGACTCACATGGAGAGAGCTATGTCTCAGGGACAACCAACACTGGCGTCAGACCACCAGGGACATCCCAACACCGGTGTCAGACCATCAGGGACATCCCAACACTGGCGTGAGACCATCAGGGACACCCCAACACCGGCGTGAGACCATCAGGGACACCCATACCGGTGTCAGACCATCAGGGACACCCCAACACCGGCGTCAGACCATCAGGGACACCCCAACACCGGCGTCAGACCATCAGGGACACCCCAACACCGGCGTCAGACCATCAGGGACACCCCAACACCGGCGTCAGACCATCAGGGACACACCAACACCGGCGTCAGACCATCAGGGACACCCCAACACCGGCGTCAGACCCTCAGGGACACACCAACACCGGCGTCAGACCATCAGGGACATCCCAACACTGGCGTCAGACCATCAGGGACACCCCAACACAGGCGTGAGACCATCAGGGACACCCCAACACCGGCGTCAGACCATCAGGGACACACCAACACAGGCGTCAGACCATCAGGGACACCCCAACACAGGCGTCAGACCATCAGGGACACCCCAACACCGGCGTCAGACCATCAGGGACACCCCAACACCGGCGTCAGACCATCAGGGACACACCAACACTGGCGTCAGACCATCAGGGACACACCAACACTGGCGTCAGACCATCAGGGACACACCAACACAGGCGTCAGACCATCAGGGACACACCAACACAGGCGTCAGACCATCAGGGACACCCCAACACCGACGTCAGACCATCAGGGACACACCAACACTGGCGTCAGACCATCAGGGACACACCAACACAGGCGTCAGACCATCAGGGACACACCAACACAGGCGTCAGACCATCAGGGACACCCCAACACAGGCGTCAGACCATCAGGGACACCCCAACACAGGCGTCAGACCATCAGGGACACCCCAACACAGGCGTCAGACCATCAGGGACACCACAACACCGGCGTCAGACCATCAGGGACACCCCAACACAGGCGTCAGACCATCAGGGACACCCCAACACAGGCGTGAGACCATCAGGGACACCCCAACACAGGCGTCAGACCATCAGGGACACCCCAACACAGGCGTCAGACCATCAGGGACACACCAACACAGGCGTCAGACCATCAGGGACACCCCAACACAGGCGTCAGACCATCAGGGACACCCCAACACAGGCGTCAGACCATCAGGGACACCCCAACACAGGCGTGAGACCATCAGGGACACCACAACACCGGCGTCAGACCATCAGGGACACACCAACACTGGCGTCAGACCATCAGGGACACACCAACACTGGCGTGAGACCATCAGGGACACACCTGCCAGGAGGGACGGCGGCCATCATTACGTGTCCTCGCTGCTGAGTGAGAGAGTTCTCTCACTTGGAGTCCAATGTTTTCATTTTCTCTCTCAGACAGTGGTGTTTGTCTCTCCTTCGTCCCTCCCTTGTCTCTCCCTCTACCTACCCACTCCCTGTAAGGTCACGAAGCTTGGGAGTCGAACCCTAGAGTTTCGAACTCACGAATCCTATCCTTGTTTGCTTATGTGACTGTAAGTTACTTTGACCCAGGAGTGTTGAATCAATAGGAATTTATAAGCACTTCCAACACGAGAGAGACCACGTGGGACCTGAACTATGTCATTGGCGGGACTCTAGATAAAGCTAAAGTCATATATACACACACACAATCCTAGTCATTTATACACACACAATCCTAGTCATTTATACACTCACAATCCTAGTCATTTATACACACACAATCCTAGTCATTTATACACACACAATCCTAGTCATTTATACACACACAATCCTAGTCATTTATACACTCACAATCCTAGTCATTTATACACTCACAATCCTAGTCATTTATACACGCACAATCCTAGTCATTTATACACTCACAATCCTAGTCATTTATACACACACAATCCTAGTCATATATACACACACAATCCTAGTCATTTATACACTCACAATCCTAGTCAATATACACACACCAATCCTAGTCATATATACACACACATCCTAGTCATTTATACACTCACAATCCTAGTCATATATACACACACAATCCTAGTCATTTATACACACACAACCATCCTAGTCATTTATACACGCACAATCCTAGTCATTTATACACGCACAATCCTAGTCATTTATACACGCACAATCCTAGTCATATATACACACACAATCCTAGTCATTTATACACACACAATCCTAGTCATTTATACACGCACAATCCTAGTCATTTATACACGCACAATCCTAGTCATTTATACACTCACAATCCTAGTCATATATACACACACAATCCTAGTTATTTATACACACACAATCCTAGTCATTTATACACACACAATCCTAGTCATTTATACACTCACAATCCTAGTCATTTATACACTCACAATCCTAGTCATTTATACACACACAATCCTAGTCATTTATACACACACAATCCTAGTTATTTATACACACACAATCCTAGTCATTTATACACGCACAATCCTAGTCATTTATACACACACAATCCTAGTCATTTATACACAATCCTAGTCATTTATACACTCACAATCCTAGTCATTTATACACACACAATCCTACTCATTTATACACTCACAATCCTAGTCATTTATACACAATCCTAGTCATTTATACACTCACAATCCTAGTCATTTATACACACACAATCCTAGTCATTTATACACTAACAATCCTAGTCATTTATACACGCACAATCCTAGTCATTTATACACTCACAATCCTAGTCATATATACACACACAATCCTAGTCATTTATACACACACAATCCTAGTCATTTATACACGCACAATCCTAGTCATTTATACACGCACAATCCTAGTCATTTATACACGCACAATCCTAGTCATTTATACACGCACAATCCTAGTCATTTATACACTCACAATCCTAGTCATTTATACACTAACAATCCTAGTCATTTATACACGCACAATCCTAGTCATTTATACACTCACAATCCTAGTCATTTATACACTCACAATCCTAGTCATTTATACACGCACAATCCTAGTCATTTATACACTCACAATCCTAGTCATTTATACACTCACAATCCTAGTCATTTATACACACACATCCTAGTCATTTATACATCACAATCCTAGTCATTTATACACACACAATCCTAGTCATTTATACACGCACAATCCTAGTCATTTATACACTCACAATCCTAGTCATTTATACACACACAATCCTAGTCATTTATACACGCACAATCCTAGTCATTTATACACTCACAATCCTAGTCATTTATACACACACAATCCTAGTCATTTATACACTCACAATCCTAGTCATTTATACACACACAATCCTAGTCATTTATACACGCACAATCCTAGTCATTTATACACTCACAATCCTAGTCATTTATACACTCACAATCCTAGTCATTTATACACACACAATCCTACTCATTTATACACTCACAATCCTAGTCATTTATACACAATCCTAGTCATTTATACACTCACAATCCTAGTCATTTATACACACACAATCCTAGTCATTTATACACACACAATCCTAGTAATTTATACACTCACAATCCTAGTCATTTATACACTCACAATCCTAGTCATTTATACACACACAATCCTAGTCATTTATACACACACAATCCTAGTCATTTATACACACACAATCCTAGTCATTTATACACTCACAATCCTAGTCATTTATACACGCACAATCCTAGTCATTTATACACACACAATCCTAGTCATTTATACACAATCCTAGTCATTTATACACTCACAATCCTAGTCATTTATACACACACAATCCTAGTCATTTATACACACACAATCCTAGTCATTTATACATACACAATCCTAGTCATTTATACACTCACAATCCTAGTCATTTATACACACACAATCCTAGTCATTTATACACTCACAATCCTAGTCATTTATACACACACAATCCTAGTCATTTATACACTCACAATCCTAGTCATTTATACACACACAATCCTAGTCATTTATACACACACAATCCTAGTCATTTATACACACACATCCTAGTCATTTATACATACACAATCCTAGTCATTTATACACTCACAATCCTAGTCATTTATACACTCACAATCCTAGTCATTTATACACACACAATCCTAGTCATTTATACACACACAATCCTAGTCATTTATACACACACAATCCTAGTCATTTATACACTCACAATCCTAGTCATTTATACACTCACAATCCTAGTCATTTATACACACACAATCCTAGTCATTTATACATACACAATCCTAGTCATTTATACACACACAATCCTAGTCATTTATACACACACAATCCTAGTCATTTATACACTCACAATCCTAGTCATTTATACACTCACAATCCTAGTCATTTATACACACACAATCCTAGTCATTTATACATACACAATCCTAGTCATTTATACACTCACAATCCTAGTCATTTATACACTCACAATCCTAGTCATTTATACACACACAATCCTAGTCATTTATACACACACAATCCTAGTCATTTATACACTCACAATCCTAGTCATTTATACACACACAATCCTAGTCATTTATACACTCACAATCCTAGTCATTTATACACACACAATCCTAGTCATTTATACACTCACAATCCTAGTCATTTATACACGCACAATCCTAGTCATTTATACTCGCACAATCCTAGTCATTTACTATTACAAACAAACACAAACGACTCATCAAAATTAACACAAATAAAACAAACTGGTGTTTTAACTAAGAAATATTTACATTAACAACCATTACAGCTAAAGTTTATATACCAGTAGTTACACTCTCCCCCCCCTCCCTCCCTCTCTCCTCCCCCCCCCCCCTCCCTCCCTCTCTCCCTCCCCCCCCCCTCCCTCCCTCTCTCGTCCCCCCCCTCTTCCCTCTCTCCCTTTATCTGTCTCTGTCTCTGTCTCCTCTCTCTCTCTCTCTCGTCTCTCTCTCTCTCTCTCTCTCTCTCTCTCTCTCTCTCTCTCTCTCCTCTCTCTCTCTCTCCTCTCTCTCCTCTCTCTCTCTCTCTCTCTCATATTTCTTTAAAATTGACTAGGTAACATTAAGACTGGTTTGTGGGGAGGGGGGGGGGTGAAGCAGCGCCTTCGTGGGTGGTGTGGGCGGAGGGGGGTATGGGGTGGAGGGTGGGGTTGCGGGGTTGGGGGGTGTCACCTGGTGACCCGCCAGCCTGGGTGAGGCAACACCAGTGAAAGTGTTGGTGACACCTCCAGGGTGTCTGTCATGGTTGTCACCTGTCTGTCCCCCACCCCTCCGACGGCTGTCCCCCCCTCCGACGGCTGTCCCCCCCTCCGACGGCTGTCCCCCCCTCCGACGGCTGTCCCCCCTCCGACGGCTGTCCCCCCCCCTCCGACGGGTGTCCCCCCCTCCGACGGCTGTCCCCCCCTCCGACGGCTGTCCCCCCCTCCGACGGCTGTCCCCCCCCTCCGACGGCTGTCCCCCCCCTCCGACGGCTGTCCCCCCCCTACGACGGCTGTCCCCCCCCTCCGACGGTTGTCCCCCCTCCGACGGCTGTCCCCCCCCTCCGACGGCTTTCCCCCCCCTCCGACGGCTTTGTCCCCCCCCTCCGACGGCTGTCCCCCCCTCCGACGGCTGTCCCCCCCCCTCCGACGGCTGTCCCCCCCTCCGACGGCTGTCCCCCCCCCCTCCGACGGCTGTCCCCCCCTCCGACGGCTGTCCCCCCCTCCGACGGCTGTCCCCACCTCCGACGGCTGTCCCACCCTCCGACGGCTGTCCCACCCTCCGACGGCTGTCCCACCCCTCCGACGGCTGTCCCACCCTCCGACGGCTGTCCCACCCTCCGACGGCTGTCCCACCCTCCGACGGCTGTCCCACCCTCCGACGGCTGTCCCTCCCTCCGACGGCTGTCCCTCCCTCCGACGGCTGTCCCTCCTCCGACGGCTGTCCCCCCTCCGACGGCTGTCCCCCCTCCGACGGCTGTCCCACCCTCCGACGGCTGTCCCTCCCTCCGACGGCTGTCCCCCCTCCGACGGCTGTCCACCCTCCGACGGCTGTCCACCCTCCGACGGCTGTCCACCCTCCGACGGCTGTCCCCCCTCCGACGGCTGTCCCCCCCTCCGACGGCTGCCCACCCTCCGACGGCTGTCCCCCCTCCGACGGCTGCCCACCCTCCGACGGCTGTTCCCCCTCCGACGGCTGCCCCACCCTCCGACAGCTGTTCCCCCTCCGACGGCTGCCCCACCCTCCGACGGCTGTCCCCCCTCCGACGGCTGCCCCACCCTCCGACGGCTGCCCACCCTCCGACGGCTGCCCACCCTCCGACGGCTGTCCCCCCTCCGACGGCTGTCCCCCCTCCGACGGCTGCCCCACCCTCCGACGGCTGCCCACCCTCCGAGGGCTGTCCCCCCTCCGACGGCTGCCCACCATCCGACGGCTGTCCCCCCTCCGACGGCTGTCCCCCCTCCGACGGCTGTCCCCCCTCCGACGGCTGTCCACCCTCCGACGGCTGCCCACCCTCCGACGGCTGTCCCCCCTCCGACGGCTGCCCACCCTCCGACGGCTGTCCCCCTCCGACGGCTGTCCACCCTCCGACGGCTGCCCCCCTCCGACGGCTGCCCCCCCCTCCGACGGCTGCCCACCCTCCGACGGCTGCCCACCCTCCGACGGCTGTCCCCCCTCCGACGGCTGTCCACCCCTCCGACGGCTGCCCCCCTCCGACGGCTGCCCCCCCCTCCGACGGCTGTCCACCCTCCGACGGCTGCCCCCCTCCGACGGCTGCCCCCCCCTCCGACGGCTGCCCACCCTCCGACGGCTGTCCCCCCTCCGACGGCTGCCCACCCTCCGACGGCTGTCCCCCCTCCGACGGCTGTCCACCCTCCGACGGCTGCCCCCCTCCGACGGCTGCCCCCCCCTCCGACGGCTGCCCACCCTCCGACGGCTGCCCACCCTCCGACGGCTGTCCACCCTCCGACGGCTGTCCACCCTCCGACGGCTGTCCCCCCCTCCGACGGCTGTCCCACCCTCCGACGGCTGTCCCACCCTCCGACGGCTGCCCACCCTCCGACGGCTGTCCCCCCTCCGACGGCTGCCCCCCTCCGACGGCTGCCCACCCTCCGACGGCTGCCCACCCTCCGACGGCTGTCCCCCCTCCGACGGCTGTCCACCCTCCGACGGCTGCCCACCCTCCGATGGCTGCCCACCCTCCGACGGCTGTCCCCCCTCCGACGGCTGTCCACCCTCCGACGGCTGCCCACCCTCCGACGGCTGTCCCCCCTCCGACGGCTGTCCACCCTCCGACGGCTGCCCCCCTCCGACGGCTGCCCACCCTCCGACGGCTGTCCCCCCTCCGACGGCTGCCCCCCTCCGACGGCTGTCCACCCTCCGACGGCTGTCCACCCTCCGACGGCTGTCCACCCTCAGACGGCTGTCCACCCTCCGACGGCTGTCCCCCCTCCGACGGCTGTCCCACCCTCCGACGGCTGCCCACCCTCCGACGGCTGTCCCACCCTCCGACGGCTGTCCCACCCTCCGACGGCTGTCCCCCCTCCGACGGCTGTCCCACCCTCCGACGGCTGCCCACCCTCCGACGGCTGTCCCACCCTCCGACGGCTGTCCCACCCTCCGACGGCTGTCCACCCTCCGACGGCTGTCCACCCTCCGACGGCTGTCCCACCCTCCGACGGCTGTCCCACCCTCCGACGGCTGTCCACCCTCCGACGGCTGTCCACCCTCCGACGGCTGTCCCACCCTCCGACGGCTGCCCACCCTCCGACGGCTGTCCCACCCTCCGACGGCTGTCCACCCTCCGACGGCTGTCCCACCCTCCGACGGCTGTCCACCCTCCGACGGCTGTCCACCCTCCGACGGCTGTCCCACCCTCCGACGGCTGTCCACCCTCCGACGGCTGTCCACCCTCCGACGGCTGTCCACCCTCCGACGGCTGTCCACCCTCCGACGGCTGTCCCACCCTCCGACGGCTGTCCACCCTCCGACGGCTGTCCACCCTCCGACGGCTGTCCCACCCTCCGACGGCTGTCCCACCCTCCGACGGCTGTCCCACCCTCCGACGGCTGTCCCACCCTCCGACGGCTGTCCCACCCTCCGACGGCTGTCCCACCCTCCGACGGCTGTCCCCCTCCGACGGCTGTCCCACCCTCCGACGGCTGCCCACCCTCCGACGGCTGTCCCACCCTCCGACGGCTGCCCACCCTCCGACGGCTGCCCACCCTCCGACGGCTGCCCACCCTCCGACGGCTGTCCCACCCTCCGACGGCTGTCCCACCCTCCGACGGCTGTCCCCCTCCGACGCATCTGGGAAAAGTACGGTTCCAATATCCTTGTCTTACTGACTTAGAGAGGTAAACTATACTTATATTGATAATTATCAGAACCAGTCATAGTGGAGGCGATTAATTTTATTAATTTTAATTAATTAATTATTAATTAACTAATTCGATTAATTTTAATGCTTAAACTTTTGTTTTAAAAATGTGTTAAACGTCCGTGTTGTGACGTCACGGGTATCCCATTCTCTTTCCCTTTTGTGGATAACTGATGTAAATTAACATCTTATGATGGTTACAAGTTGGTGTATTGGTGGGTTATGTTGTTGTTGTTGCTGGGTATACCTGTTGTTGTTGTTGCTGGGTATACCTGTTGTTGTTGCTGGGTATACCTGTTGTTGTTGTTGTTGTTGCTGGGTATACCTGTTGTTGTTGTTGCTGGGTATACCTGTTGTTGTTGTTGCTGGGTATACCTGTTGTTGCTGGGTATACCTGTTGTTGTTGTTGTTGTTGCTGGGTATACCTGTTGTTGCTGGGTATACCTGTTGCTGTTGTTGTTGCTGGGTATACCTGCTGTTGTTGTTGCTGGGTATACCTGTTGTTGTTGTTGCTGGGTATACCTGTTGTTGTTGTTGTTGTTGCTGGGTATACCTGTTGTTGTTGCTGGGTATACCTGTTGTTGTTGTTGGGTATACCTGTTGTTGTTGTTGTTGTTGCTGGGTATACCTGTTGTTGTTGCTGGGTATACCTGTTGTTGTTGCTGGGTATACCTGTTGTTGTTGTTGTTGTTGCTGGGTATACCTGTTGTTGTTGTTGTTGTTGCTGGGTATACCTGTTGTTGTTGTTGTTGCTGGGTATACCTGTTGTTGTTGCTGGGTATACCTGTTGTTGTTGTTGTTGCTGGGTATACCTGTTGTTGCTGGGTATACCTGTTGTTGCTGGGTATACCTGTTGTTGTTGTTGTTGCTGGGTATACCTGTTGTTGTTGTTGCTGGGTATACCTGTTGTTGTTGTTGTTGCTGGGTATACCTGTTGTTGTTGTTGCTGGGTATACCTGTTGTTGTTGTTGCTGGGTATACCTGTTGTTGTTGTTGTTGCTGGGTATACCTGTTGTTGTTGCTGGGTATACCTGTTGTTGTTGTTGTTGCTGGGTATACCTGTTGTTGTTGTTGCTGGGTATACCTGTTGTTGTTGTTGCTGGGTATACCTGTTGTTGCTGGGTATACCTGTTGTTGCTGGGTATACCTGTTGTTGTTGTTGTTGCTGGGTATACCTGTTGTTGCTGGGTATACCTGTTGTTGCTGGGTATACCTGTTGTTGTTGTTGTTGTTGCTGGGTATACCTGTTGTTGTTGTTGTTGCTGGGTATACCTGTTGTTGTTGTTGCTGGGTATACCTGTTGTTGTTGTTGTTGCTGGGTATACCTGTTGTTGTTGTTGCTGGGTATACCTGTTGTTGTTGTTGTTGCTGGGTATACCTGTTGTTGCTGGGTATACCTGTTGTTGCTGGGTATACCTGTTGTTGCTGGGTATACCTGTTGTTGTTGTTGTTGCTGGGTATACCTGTTGTTGCTGGGTATACCTGTTGTTGCTGGGTATACCTGTTGTTGTTGTTGTTGCTGGGTATACCTGTTGTTGTTGCTGGGTATACCTGTTGTTGTTGTTGTTGCTGGGTATACCTGTTGTTGTTGTTGTTGCTGGGTATACCTGTTGTTGTTGTTGCTGGGTATACCTGTTGTTGTTGTTGTTGCTGGGTATACCTGTTGTTGCTGGGTATACCTGTTGTTGCTGGGTATGCCTGTTGTTGTTGTTGTTGCTGGGTATACCTGTTGTTGTTGTTGTTGTTGCTGGGTATACCTGTTGTTGTTGTTGCTGGGTATACCTGTTGTTGTTGTTGTTGCTGGGTATACCTGTTGTTGTTGTTGCTGGGTATACCTGTTGTTGTTGTTGTTGTATGGGTATACCTGTTGTTGTTGTTGCTGGGTATACCTGTTGTTGTTGTTGCTGGGTATACCTGTTGTTGTTGTTATTACTACAGTACCTGGGTATACCTGTTGTTGTTGTTGCTGGGTATACCTGTTGTTGTTGTTGTTGTTGTATTACTACAGTACCTGTTGTTGTTGTTGCTGGGTATACCTGTTGTTGTTGTTGTTGCTGGGTATACCTGTTGTTGTTGCTGGGTATACCTGTTGTTGTTGTTGCTGGGTATACCTGTTGTTGTTGTTGTTGCTGGGTATACCTGTTGTTGTTGTTGTTGGGTATACCTGTTGTTGTTGTTGTTGCTGGGTATACCTGTTGTTGTTGTTGTTGTTGGTATGGGTATACCTGTTGTTGTTGTTGTTGGTATACCTGTTGTTGTTATACCTGTTGTTGCTGGGTATACCTGTTGTTGTTGTTGTTGCTGGGTATACCTGTTGTTGTTGTTGGGGTATACCTGTTGTTGTTGTTGTTGCTGGGTATACCTGTTGTTGTTGTTGTTACTGTTGTTTGTTGCTGGGTATACCTGTTGTTGTTGTTGTTGGGTATACCTGTTGTTGCTGGGTATACCTGTTGTTGTTGTTGTTGCTGGGTATACCTGTTGTTGTTGTTGTTGTATACTGGGTGTTGTTGTTGTTGTTGTTGGGGTATACCTGTTGTTGTTGTTGTTGTTGTTGTTGTTGTTGCTGGGTATACCTGTTGTTGTTGTTGTTGTATACCTGTTGTTGTTGTTGTTGGGTATACCTGTTGTTGTTGTTGTATTACCTGTTGTTGTTGTTGGGTATACCTGTTGTTGTTGTTGTTGTTGTTGTTGTACCTGTATTACCTGTTGTTGTTGTTGCTGGGTATACCTGTTGTTGTTGTTGCTGTTGTTGGTATACCTGTTGTTGTTGTTGTTGTATGGGTATACCTGTTGTTGTTGTTGGGTATACCTGTTGTTGTTGTTGTTGCTGGGTATACCTGTTGTTGTTGTTGTTGCTGGGTATACCTGTTGTTGTTGTTGTTGGGGTATACCTGTTGTTGTTGTTGTTGGTATACCTGTTGTTGTTGGGTATACCTGTTGTTGCTGGGTATTACTACAGTACCTGTTGTTGTTGTTGTTGCTGGGTATACCTGTTGTTGTTGTTGTTGTGGGTATACCTGTTGTTGTTGCTGGGTATACCTGTTGTTGTTGTTGTTGCTGGGTATACCTGTTGTTGTTGTTGTTGTATACCTGTACCTGTTGTTGTTGCTGGGTATACCTGTTGTTGTTGTTGTGGGTGTACCTGTTGTTGTATACCTGTTGTTGTTGTTTGTTGCTGGGTATACCTGTTGTTGTTGTTGTTGTATACCTACCTGTTGTTGTTGTTGCTGGGTATACCTGTTGTTGTTGTTGTTGTATACCTGTACCTGTTGTTGTTGTTGGGTATACCTGTTGTTGTTGTTGTTGTTATACCTGTTGTATTGTTGCTGTACCTGTTGTTGTTGTTGTTGTTGTTGCTGGGTATACCTGTTGTTGTTGTTGGGTATACCTGTTGTTGTTGTTGTTGTATGTACCTGTTGTTGTTGTTGTTGGGTATACCTGTTGTTGTTGTTGCTGGGTATACCTGTTGTTGTTGTTGTTGCTGGGTATACCTGTTGTTGTTGTTGGTATACCTGTTGTTGTTGTTGTTGCTGTTGTACCTGTTGTTGTGGGTGTTGTTGTTGGGTATACCTGTTGTTGTTGTTGTTACCAGTTGTTGTTGTTGCTGGGTATACCTGTTGTTGTGTTGTGTTGTTGTTGGGTATACCTGTTGTTGTTGTTGTTGTTGGGTATACCTGTTGTTGTTGTTGCTGGGTATACCTGTTGTTGTTGTTGTGGGTATACCTGTTGTTGTTGCTGGGTATACCTGTTGTTGTTGCTGGGTATACCTGTTGTTGTTGTTGTTGTTGGGGTATACCTGTTGTTGTTGTTGTTGTTGTATGGGTATACCTGTTGTTGTTGTTGTGGGTATACCTGTTGTTGTTGGGTATACCTGTTGTTGTTGTTGTTGTTGTGGGTATTACTGTTGTACCTGTTGTTGTTGGGTATACCTGTTGTTGTTGTTGTTGCTGGGTATTACTGTTGTTGTTGTTGTTGCTGGGTATACCTGTATTGTTGTTACTGTTGTGTGTTGTTGTTGTATTACTGGGTATACCTGTTGTTGTTGTTGCTGGGTATACCTGTTGTTGTTGCTGGGTATACCTGTTGTTGTTGTTGTTGTATGGGTATACCTGTTGTTGTTGTTGCTGGGTATACCTGTTGTTGTTGTTGCTGGGTATACCTGTTGTTGTTGTTGCTGGGTTGTACCTGTTGTTGTTGTTGCTGGGTATACCTGTTGTTGTTGTTGCTGGGTATACCTGTACCTGTTGTTGTTGCTGTTGTTGTTGTGGGTATACTACAGTTGCTGTTGTTGTTGTTGTTGTTGCTGGGTATACCTGTTGTTGTTGTTGTTGCTGGGTATACCTGTTGTTGTTGTTGGGTATACCTGTTGTTGTTGTTGGGTATACCTGTACCTGTTGTTGTTGTTGGGTATACCTGTTGTTGTTGTTGTTGTTGCTACCCTGTTGTTGTTGTTGTTGCTGGGTATACCTGTTGTTGTTGTTGTTGTATGGGTATACCTGTTGTTGTTGTTGGGTATACCTGTTGTTGTTGTTGCTGGGTATACCTGTTTGTTGCTGGTTGTTGTTGCTGGGTATACCTGTTGTTGTTGTTGTTTGTTGCTGGGTATACCTGTTGTTGTTGTTGTTGTTGTTGTTGTTGGGTATACCTGTTGTTGTTGTTGTTGTTGTTGCTGGGTATACCTGTTGTTGTTGTTGTTGTTGCTGGGTATACCTGTTGTTGTTGTTGCTGGGTATACCTGTTGTTGTTGTTGCTGGGTATACCTGTTGTTGTTGTTGTTGTATACCTGTTGTTGCTGGGTATACCTGTTGTTGTTGTTGTTGCTGGGTATACCTGTTGTTGTTGTTGCTGGGTATACCTGTTGTTGTTGTTGCTGGGTATACCTGTTGTTGTTGTTGCTGGGTATACCTGTTGTTGCTGGGTATACCTGTTGTTGTTGTTGCTGGGTATACCTGTTGTTGTTGCTGGGTA